AGGCTTTCATTACCCATTTTATATCATTATTATGCACCAGCATTACTCACTAGATTACTAGAATGGACTAATACAGGAGTATAACGATCCTGGTATACTTTAGAGCAAAGTTTTACAAACGTCCCTCTTTATAATCTCCCATGGTTAAGTTGTTCTATTAATAGACTTAACCCAACCTCTCATCCTTTGCTATTAAGTGTATTAAATTTATGGAGGAAAAATAAAACCAAGTGTCATCTATCCCCAGGAATTTCACCATTATACCCACTGGCAAGAAACCATGACTTCCATAAGGGAGAAGGTGGCCTATTGTTAGCCTGTTTGATAAGTAAATCTGGGGAAAACCTACACTTATTATTACAAGAAAATACAATTCCAACTCTTAATGAACTGCTTGGCACCTCTATGATATTCCCAACTTGTCAATTTGCAACGAAAGGAAGTCCTTCCAACTTGGACATTGAGAGAGCTCACCACTTTTAAACAATTTTGTACTTCTAATTTGCAAGGAACCCATTCCCTGTCTAAGATATATGCAATGATTCAAATTGGCATAATAGACGAGGCACCTGCTCATTTTCACAGTAAATGGACCTTACATATACACTTATCGGCTGATGATTGTCTTATATTTTTCGAAAAGTTATGATGAACTCGGTGAGCCAGACTAAAAGGTAATCTTTTTATAAACGGGTAACGAGGTGTTACAGAACCCCCATGTTACTGCAGCATTATTTTCCAAAAGTAAATAATAAATGTTGAAGAAGTGAAATTAAGGAAGGCACTCTCGAACATATTTGGTTGTTTTGCTCAAAATTCAGCAGTGTTGGAAACAAGCACTAATATTTATTAAACACACCTTTATCATATAACTTAACTCCCTCACAGATTTTACTCGGTTGGCCTAATGCCTTTACTGATATGAAGCAACAGAAATTACTGTGGTTTTTAATTAATCAGGCCAATACATTAATTCCAGTCTTTTGGAAAAAAAACTACTACCCCGACAATAGAAAACTGGGTAGAGAGAGTTGAAGATACTAGGATAATTGAGGAATTTCATTGGGGAGCAGATAATAAAAAGGAAAAATATCTCAAAATATGGAACCCTTGGATAAAGTATTGGTTATCAAAAGGAGAGGCTGTATGATATATAATGTGATTTATTTAGTTGTTTTATTATAACTGGTTGTTTTGCCACCATGCAGTAGCTGAAAATGTAGCAGTTATAACAGTAACTGTAAATTCAATTAATTTAATTTACTGTTTTAATTTACTTATCTTATAAGGTTTAGACTTAGCCCTATATATTATATGAGATCAGAAGAATCTTTAGTATAATCACTTCCCTCCTCTATTGTCTCCATTTACGTTTAGAACTGACGTAGTACATTGTTTACGTTGTTTATGTTTTATAGTTTATGTGTGTCAACGAGCAATTACTGCAATTGAAATATGTTTGTATAAAATGTATATTATAAGATTAAGAAAGAACATAATTGTGATATCACAAACTATTACAGAATACTTAAAATTAGATGTATTTGCTGTAGTATGCTTCATGAAAAGAAAATGAAACATTAAAAAAAAAAAAAATTACAGAGCATGAGATAAACTGCTGAAGCAATGTAACATCTGATTGGCAATGAAGCCATTTTTTTTTCTGTATGCTGTGTGAGTCAAAGCTAAAGGAGGTGTGGCAAGGGCTGCATAAACAAAGTGATTTAGCTCCTACAGTGCAGAGAATTGAACAGTCACACTGCAGTGACATGATCTATACCAGGGGTAGGCAACCTTTTAGCAGTACTGTGCCAAAACAAAATCTTGAAGATTTTGGCGTGCAATTCCGAATTTATATTTAAATTGATGTGTGTATGTTGTTGTACTCTGCTTGTGTTATTTATGGGTGCTGCTATTGCTTTGTAGCGTTGTATTTGTGCGTATGTGGGATGTTATATTGTATATTTTCATAAGTAGTTTGTGGTATTGTGTATGATACCTATAAATGTGAGCTGTGTATGGGGGATGCTTGTGTGTCTGGATGATATATCATATTGTGTGTTTGGTGTATGTGTATTGTCAGTGGTTTGTGTATGGTAGTATGTGTATGTGCATTGTCAGTGTGGATTTGTGTGGGGGCAGTGTGTATTATTTGCATGAGGGTGAGGCTTCAACTGCCACCCTCTGTATACCTAGCAGTGTTGGTGGCTTCCCTGGGGTCCAGTAGGGACCAGGCTGGCTATGTTCAGGACAAGGCAAAAGCTGTGATAGCTGCTGTGGGCTGCTTTACTCTAGTGAAGATTTCCGTTCACAAGTGCTGGGAGGGTGTGAGATCACTTCCTCTAAGTGCTGCAATGCGTAAATTGATGACTCTCCAACACCACCTGCAATCACTGCTTGGGTTGCACTAGCAGATATCTGAAGTCCTACTATGACTCCTGACAGGCCATAACCTATTGACTCTGGCAACCTTGAGCGCCGTGCAAAGGCACCTCGAGTGCCATGCATGGCACACATGCCATAAGTTGCTGACCCCTAATCTATACACTATATCTGCTTCATTAAGCTAAAGTTGATTTGATGCCTATAGTATCCCTTTAATTCTTTTGGATAAGCTTTCCAAATGATCACATTCCATTTGAAAAAAGTTTCAAATGATTTAGCTACAAACGTCACCATTCAAGTCTATGGCAAATTTTGTAGATAAATCATTTGAAAAGTTTTTCTAATAGTTTGTGATCCTTTGAAAAGCTGAACAAAGAGAAACCATTGATCTTTCACTCCTGTTTCACTTCCATCCTTTTACACTCAATGAGTAAAAGGATCGGAATCTAACATACAAACTGATTTGGTCTTGGCCTGTGATTTCCACTTCTTTTTTTACACCTCTTGAATTTAGGGAATATATTATAGAAGCAATACATAGATAAATGAAGACAACAATGATTGATTTTTTTATTTCTTTTTAGAAGATAGCAATGTTTACTTAATAGAATTAATGTAGTTTATTACGCATTATTACAAGATTATAGTTTAGTGATCATAGATCTCCTTAAGAGACTAATCAAAGCCATCAGCTGTTGTAGCATAAGGGCAATATTCCCAGTGAAGAAGATACATATGTGTTCTGTCTTTTCCTCCAATTAGTTGAAACAAATAGGCATTGAACAGCTTTAAATCTTGAATAAATTTATCATAGTTTTAATTATGACCAAACTGTATATAATCAAACTTATTTTTAAACATGACCTTATGTAGTTCAGTTTGGGACTGCTTGTCCAAAAACCTATCTGTAGATACCATGAGGATGTAGATGGCTTTTGCCAAATATTTTCACAGTGATAAATAACTCTTTGGAAATATCCCAATCCTCTTGAAAATGAAGATCAAAATAACAAAAACATTTAAAAAGAATATAAAATAAAATTCGATATAACATTGGCTATTGTTCAGCAAACTCGCAAGTTCACAAGTTAAGTAATTGAAAATTGGCTCATAAAATTGCTTAAAAATTAAATATGTCCAAATATCACAATTGTAATAGAACATGTTCTCCTGTGTCTTTCAAGGTATAGTCAACACTCTTTAGTTCCAATTGAATTTTCTTTCAACATGGCCAGGTGCTTCTAATTGCAACACATACAGCCTGAGGTTGATGATATGTGTAATACGCATCTTGTTAAAATTAATTAATCATGGGAAAAGCAGGATGATATATATACACGCACACACGCACAAACACACACATATATATATATATATATATTATATATATATATATAAAATTTCTTTAAAATCTGAATTAATTAACATGAAAAGTAGAAGTATAATACATTAAGACATTAATGACTTTGATTATTTAAGGACATCAGCTTTTACAATAAAGATTAATGCCATTTATTATAAAGCATTATATGTCTCATGATCATAGACTTTTTTTTAGAGAACAAGGAAAGCCATTAGCTGTTGTAGCATAAGGGCATGGAGTAATTTTACAGTATTCTCAATGAGAAGGGCCATATGTGTGCTGTCTATTCTCCCAATTAGTTGAAACAAATCAGCACTGAAGAGTTTTAAAGCTTGAATATACTTATTATAGGTTTTACTATAGCCAGAATTATATGATCAGACTAATGCAACCTACTTTTATAGGTTATTTCTAGAAATAAATGTGTTTCCTGCAAACGCCAATAAGAATCTTAGTTTTCAAAGAGAAATATTTAAAACTTAATTTACTAACATCTCTGTATCTGATTAGTCATTTACTTCAAGTGCAAAACAATAACAAGTATTTGTTAGACTATTGTTTTTCTTTTTATCACACATTTTTCTCTTATCTTTCTCTTTATTAGAACATTCATACATGGCTTACAGTGATAGTGAGAAGATTGAAAAACTAAAGTAAATAAATAAATAAAAATAAGCAAAATATGGACCCTGAAAGTCTTTACTAATAAAGTTAATGTATATCACAGATTATTCCTCCTCGTTCCCTTACCCCATCAACAAAACATGAGGGTACTATAAAACAGTTGTGACTACCCACAATGTACTTAAAGGGCATTTCACAGATTTGGAGGACCTCCGTCATTTTTTTTTTTAATTTAAAGGATTACACTAAACACTATAACCACTTTATCTTGCTATCACTTTATAGAATGCAAAATACAGGGAAAAAAAGGAGAGCAGCACTAACTTGATATGCTATGTGGACAAAGTCCTACAATAGTGATCTATTTAAAGGTACAGCAAATGTTTTGGGGTTCAACCCTTCATCAGTTGTTTCAGGAGATATAAATAAAGACACTGCCAGGTATTAGTGTATAGAAGCCATGTTTCAGGAGATACAGGAAGGAAGTACACACCCCAACAGGAAACACGTGCAATAGAGAATAAACCATATAGTTAGTTACATGTAAACCAAACATAACATCCATAACATCTCCCTCTTTTAGTATTAATAAATAAACATTGTGAAACACTGTCCTTGTAATAACATTTTAGAGGTTCAGTCTCTCAGGTTGTTGTGAATGTCTGCCACTACGAGTGAAGACTGGTTCAGGTTGTGCAAATAGTCTTTTAGCCCTCTCTGAGGTTACTAGACTCTTCCCACCACTTACTGGCATGCTTTGAACTTGACTGCTGTCAAGTCCTGCTTGCTCAGGGCTGTCATTAGTACTAGTCTGTGGTATCACTTCTGTACACTCTTCACTGCCGACATGTGAGTGTGTCCTTGGAATACCAGGTGTGTCTGGCTTGTCAACTGGATATTGAGAATCGGGCTTCTCGGCCACTTGCAGATCCGCATGATTGCGTTGGTATGAGTTCCTTCGATATCCACAAGATAAGAACGTGGTGCAACCTTTTGCAGACAGGTTCCCATTCTCCAGCGACCTGTTCGATCCACAGGAAGCGGTTTCATACAGATTTGTTCCCCAATATTCAGTTATGGTAAATCCCTAGCAGATGGGTCATATCTAGCCTTGAACACTTGCCTCTTAAGTCATAACTTTTCTGGTACACCTTGTATCACAGAGGGTTCAAGTAGCTTGTTGGCTACTGGTAAGGAGGTCTTTAATCTCCTTGACATCAGTCTCTGTGCCAGACTACTATCCATACCCTCTGTTGGAGTGTTTCTCTAATGTAAGATGGCTTTCCATAGGTCTTTACCATCCATGGGTCTTCACTATTTTCACAGCAGATTCAGCTTTGCCATTAGCTTGTGGATGACGTGGTGAAGAAGTCACATGCTCAAACTCCCATTCAGTAGCAAATTTCCTGAACTGTAAACTTGCAAACTGAGGACCATTATCAGAAATCACTTTAGTTGGTTGGCCATGACGTGCAAATTGTGCCTTGCATCGCTTAATTGTAGTTTCAGTGGACAGGTCAGGAAGCAGTTCAATTTCCTAGAAGTCTGAGTAATAATCGACTAAGAGCAGTTACTCTTTTCCAGCATAGTTGAATAAGTCCATGCTAACAATCTGCCAAGGACGTGTAGGTATCTCATGTGACATCATGGTTTTTTTTTGTTGCAAGTGTGCATATTCATTGCAAGTGGGACAATTGCTGACAAAGTGTTTGATTTCACCTTGCATGTTTGGCCAGTAAAGAGTATCACAAGCTTGTCTGTAGCAAGCCTCACCTCCGATGTGGCTTAAGTGTATGCGCAATAACATCTCTGCTCTTAGTGACTTTGGCACTATGACCCTTGGACCTTTGTACAAGATACCATTTTGTATGCTGATCTCGTCTCTGAAGGACCAATATTCCTTCACAATATTCCTTTTCATCTGGCCCCCCCTTTAGAACTATAGACTTCAGTGCTTGCAAAGTTGCATCACTTTCTGTGTGCTGTATGAGCTGATGTAGCCGATGATCTGTGACATTAAGATAGTCTGCTTGATTGTTCCTGCTGCAACAAACAAACTGCAAGATGCTCATGCTCATCTCCAGGTGCCACGTGTTCCGTTGTAGCTCTGCTTAGGGTGTCACTTGAGATTGTAATTCTGCAATGTAAGCATCATGCTCTGCAAACGTTTTGGAGCACATAAAAGTGGCTTTTTGAATATGGCTATTAGCAATTTGTGATCAGTTTTAGCTGTGATTGCATCCTGGCCATAAAGATAATGATGGAAACGCTGACAGGCAAAAACAATGCTTAAACATTCCTTTTCAATTTGAGCATAATTTTGCTCAGCTGAAGAGAGTGCTCTGGATGCAAATGCAACCTGCTGACCTTCTTGCAATAGACAACATCTTTGGCCATTTTTGCTTGAGTCGCTTTGTATTGTAACAGTCTTTTTCCTTATCAATGGCTCACACACCTCAGACAAATGTGGTGTGAATTTTGCTGGGTATGTGACAAAGCCAATAAAACGCTACACTGCTTTGGTGTCACCAGGCTGTGGCATGTCCACATGATCTTATCTGGGTCGGCTTTCAAGCCTTGTCGAGACAGGATATGTCCATGGAAGCGGACTTCTTGTACCTTGAATTGTAATTTCTTTACGCTGAGTCTCAGCATAACTGGCCTGCAGTGATCCAATAATGCTACTAGCTTCTCATCATGGTCATGCTCAGCTTCCTTATCTGTACTACCATAGCCAATTATAAGAATGTCATCTGCTATTGGTTCAGTACCGTGGAGCCCACTTAACAGTTCATGTTGCTTTCGCTTATATACTTCTGGGGTTATGGAGACTCCAAACGGCAGCTTGAGCCATCTCTTTCGGCCCCAGGGAGTCTAGAAAGTGGTCATGTAGCTATTTTTTTCATCCAGTTTGCACTGTAGAAAGGCATCTCTTGCATCAACAATTGTAAAAACCCGTGCTTTGGGCAATTTGTGCAAAACATCCTCAAGTGTTGGCATTATGTAGTGTGACCTTCTCAGGGCCATATTAAGAAACTTCGGATCAATGCAAATTCTAATCTTTTCAGGCTTTCTAATAACTAGGATTGTTGCTTATCCAGTCAGTTAGCTCTGATACTGATGTAAGATGTCTGTCAGCTTCATACTTATCCAGTTACGCTTTCACTTGTGGCTTAATGGCTATAGGCACATTGCGTGGGGCAAATTGTACTGGTGGAATGGTAGGATCCAGTTCAAAATGAATCACTTCTGGAACAGATACTACTGGGTCAGTAAACACATCGTTATAGACATTGAGGATTTGTAGTTTTGTCAGTGGCCTAGTCAAGGGCTTTGCAAGCTGATTATCAACATTGTGCAGCTCCGCTGGAATTGTGCATTGCATCAGTCCCAGGCGCTCACATGTTGAACCAGACAATAGCGGTTTCTGATTGGCTTCAACAATCTTAAATTCAAGTTTTTGTATATTTTCAAGTATGCTGCACTCTGTTTGGAAAAGTCCCAATGATTCCATTAGTTCCCCTGAATATAGCTTCAGCTTGGTGCTGCTTGGCTAAAGTGGTGCCCTAGGTGCCAGTTTCATTTTGTCTTTCAAACTCATGACATCACATGTTGCACCAGAATCCAGCTGGCAGGGTTGGCATATATTATTCAGTCTGAGATTTACAAACCATTTTAATCACATCATTGCAAAGCAGGAGAGCATCCTCAGAATCAGACATGTGTTCAATTGTGTTTTGCTTCCTTGCTTCCTTTCTTCTTGACAGACATCCTCCAGCAAAATGATTTAGCCTACCACATGATCTACAGGTTTTCCCAAATGCAGGACACTGTTCTTTCTCTCTCATATGTATACTGCCACAGTACTTACATGATGTAGACTTGTTTACAGGTGAGGTGCTTTTGTAATTATTGTGTTGATGCTTGTGCTGGTGGTTCTTCAAGCTTAGCTGTTGCTTAAAGGCTGCATGGATGCTGTCAGTCTGTTTATCCTGCTCCATAGCTCTCATATGTTTGTCAGTAAGTTCTGCAGTGCGACATATCTCAATTGCTGCATGTAGGGTTAAATCATGTTCCCTCAATAGACGGTGGCGGGTACTTTCCGTATAAGTTAATCTCTCAAGGAGCCATACTCACAGCTTGCAGCTTTTTCTCTTAGCCTTGTGACAAAGTTGTCCATTGATTCACCTTCTTCTTGCTTGCAGCTGCCAAATATATATCTTTCATATATTACATTTTTTGCAGGTCTGAAGAAAGCTTCTAATGCATTAAGGATGGCTTTAGTGTCATTCTTTTGCTCCTCTGCAAGGTTCAAATTATGCTTGTAAACATGGTAGCACTCACTGCCCATCACCCTCCTCAGTGTGGTTGCTTGCACTGCTGCAGGCTTCTCATTCCACCCTGTAGCTAGGGAGTAATCCTCAAATTCAGCTCTGAAGTTATCCCAGTTACTGCTGCAATCCCCACTCACCCTCATTGCCTCAGGTAGTGGAATGCAATGAGCAGCTGCCATGATGCTGGTTTTCTTGCTTCCAATGCTCTGCTTGCAGGACAGTAGTAGCTGTAATTGCTACAGGAGGCACAATCACTTCCAAAAAGTCTCTAACTGCAAGACATGCAAGCTCCTGGCTTCAAGAGTGTGAGAACAGACCAGGTTTAGATACTTCTGACACCATGTTTCAGGAGATATAACTAAAGACACTGCCAGGTATTAGTGTATAGCAGCCATGTTCCAGGAGATACAGGAAGGAAGAACACACCCCAACAGGAAACACATGCAATAGAGAATAAACCATAGAGTTAGTTGCATGTAAACCAAACATAACATCCGTGCCCTTACATTGCAAAGTCAACTCACCAAATAAATAGACAAAAAGTGCTCAAAATCACCTCCCCTTTGGAAAAACACCTCCCCCACAGAACGCTTGTGAGTGTAGAGCTTTATCCTGTTTGCTAGTACTGTCTTAATACTCCACACTTGATTCTGGTTACTTAGTATAGAGCGTGACATGATATGTCATCCATTACTATGGAAACAATGTACATTTAAACACTCTGAAAAAAAAGGAAAATGCTCATTTTGCAAAAATAATGATATGCACAAGTAGCTGGCATGCTGAGGGATCTAATTAGATAGAGAAAAACTGAAAATGAAAGTGTAACAAAAATCAGACCTGGCATTTCTAGGCAACCGCGCAGAACTGCCCAGTTCATATACAATGATAGAGAGGAATGCAGCAGAGTGTCTAGAAATATTAACACATAATAGCTCATAGCAAAGCAAGTGGATATGGAATTCTGTATTGTATCCCTACAGACGAGGAAATCAGGAAAAACGACTGGTGGTTTTGGAGACAGGCCTTATGGGATCCAGTCTGCCTTTGTTTTATATGTGGCTGTAAAAGCCATTGAGGATGCCTTTACCATATCTTTACCATAGGCTTCTATACTAAAAAAGCTTATATATTTGGGATAGGTTGAGAACCAAATTCAAGATAGCACATTCCCCATCTCCAATGACCCCAAGCCTCCGCAACAAACTTTTTACCCTAGGCATTTGACCACATGACCTTAGAGATCTTGAAGAGGCAGGTATCCTAAGACATATCCATCTATGGCCAGAAGAAAAAAATATAGAATTTGAAGACTTGAGACAGATCAAGCACCTAACGACCATGACTTCTTCCGCTTCTTCCAGATAATGGATTTCGCACAATCTATAGATATGAAAGAAGTTGCAATATCACTTTCCACATTCTTTAAATATTATGTAATGAAGGAAAATACAGAAAGGGCCTAATCTTCCTCCTATATACACATCTAAGCAAAGAACCCTCAATATGGGGACCACTAAGATATATCAATAAATGAGAAAAAGATTTGGGTGAGACCCTAGAAGTGGGAGAGTGGGAAGAAATTTAGGAAGCAGTCGCAAACATCTTGGTCTGTGTCCTATTTCAATAACAGATGTTTAAAATTATATTCATGCCACGTGACCAAGTTTAGTTACATAGAAAAGGTAAAGGTCCTTTCTGCCAGATGGTTCAAAATAGAACCCCCAACATTGCAAGATGTTATTACAAAAATCGAAGACAATGAGGTAATGGATGAACTGACCTCAAAGGTCAAACGTTCACGCACTGCATCCTCAATCGAGTCCCCATGGACCACCAACTGTCCAGGATTTATGTATTTCCCTTTTTTATCCCAATGGAGATGCTGACAAAACCTGGACTGTTGGTGGTCCATGAGGACTGGGTTGGGGACCACTGCTCTAAAGTATGTAATCACTGGAAAGAATTTTCCTTCAATAATTTTTAACATAGCTGTAACTAACGCTCTGTGTAAATTGCATGCAGTGGTACCCTCCTCTTTTCTCCATTCCTTCCTCTCTTTGTCCTTCTTCTACTATTTTTTTTTCTTATTTATTTATTTTACTTTCTCCCACTTTTGTTCATTCAAATTATGAGGGCAGGACATAGATATTGGTACAACAGGTACATATTGTCTCAATATTAGATACAGTAAGGAAAAATAATATTTTTAGTATTTAAAGTATTCTAAACTCAACTGCAGAGCATATCATATATATTTTATTGTTAGCACTATATTTAATTATGCTCTTCTTTATGATATATAGTTCATTTAACATGCTATGTGTCTAATCTTAGACTCATGCGTATTTTGTCTAATTTGTGCACTGTATTCCCACATGTCTGTCTCTCTTAAATAAAGAATTTAAGAAAATAGGTCAAACAAGTTATAGCAACAAGGCAAGTTTTACTTATAGGAACAAAGGTTGGTAAGTGCTCTGCTCAGTTAAGCACTCAATCTAGAATATTGTATAAACATTGATCTTAGTGAATAGCCTCCTGGATTTATTTCATGTTTGTTAAAAAAACAAAACACAAAAACCACCAATTAATCATCAGTATACCAATATTCAGTAGATGTTTCCTGCTAAGAAGAAATGGCAGGTTTCTTTGGCACACCCTAGTTTTAAACATCCGCATGCTGCTCATATCTGTCTCTGCTAGTACTGACCACCAATGAGTGCTTACCACTTTGCAAATTGTATGAACATTTTATGCAATTTTTTTCTCAAATTTGGTTTTAAAACAAAAAGTTGTTTTTTTTTCTTTGGAAGCAGGGCTAGCGTGAAAGGGAAAATAGCAATGCAAAGAAACATAGATAAGTGCGAACCCATGGAAATCGCAGGGTGTGTAAAATTATAGCAGTAGGTGCTGTGTGCAAAAATCCAATCAGAGGGTTAAAGAAAATATGTATTTTCCAATTAATTGCAATAGCAACTTTACCAAACACTATATATGGTTCTCTCAGAGCATGTGCACTTCATCCATGTGTGTCTGAGGAAGTCGTCTTTAGTATTTTCATATTACCCGACTTACCGAATTTCATACACCATGCTTATAGATAGGCTTTAGTGCTCAATTACAATGTTTAGAATTTGCCATTGTAAGCTTGACTTTTTCTCTTTCCACCTAAAGGGGCCAGGTGTAATTTCTAGTCAGGCAGGAACTTGTGGTATTTTTACCATCTAGCAGGGAAACCAAGAGTTACTATTGGCAGTGGCTAGTTACCAGTCATTCGATGTTAAGTCCTGTAACATGGAAACAGGCAGTAATCATTGAAGATTGAAACAGTCATTTTAGTGATTATCTCATTGTTGGTCAATGATTGTGAAGAGCACCTAGCATACGATCAGCAGATGTCTACACTTAATGACTAACTTAAGGTAAGTCCTAGATCGACATTAGTTGCATAATAATTCCATATAAGTATTTATTTAGAATTAAATATTTAATAGCAATAATCGGATGAGTAAATAGTATAATTTTGTCAGGAACCAAGCCCAAAAAGAAAGTAAAGATATCAAGGAAAAGCTGATAGGACTTGAACCCCTGTGTCCCACTTTAAGTAATATACCTTTTTTACTCGATACAGGTGGGGGCGGTATCCTAAATGGCTACCAGGGCACTAATGCTATAGTTTTCCTTTCAACAGGGTGCTTGTTATGGACGGCCTCAGCAATTCCAAAGGACGCGCAGATATCTAACATA